GTTTTTTCGGTTTGCTCATAACTTTGTTGCACACATACATACATATGCATATATATACATCTCTGTGTGTGTGTGTGTGTTTTGCCAAAAAGTTTTGCAAAAATGAGCCGAAGCTGCAACGTGTGCGGCCTTCTCAAATTCCGTTATGTTTGTAAATACAAACATGCTCACATGTGCATGTGTAACTGTATGTGTGTGTGTTGCTAATTTTAGCAAAAATTCGGCATGCAAAAGCTAAGCGCTATGAAAAATGCTAATGAACCGCAACCGCGCCGCAAAACACGCGCTTTTGTTTGCCAAAATGAAAAGAAGACCAAAGAAAAGAAGAAGAAGCAACAGCAGCAGCTGAAGAGACCCACAAAACGGCATCAAGAGCAACATTAACTACAATTTTAATGTCAGCTGACTTGTTTTCTTTGCCTTGTTACCCTCCCTCCCCCCCCCCCCCCCCCCCCCCCTCTATCCTTGAAGCAGAGCAATTTTAGCTCGCATCGCACACACACACACACACGCCTTTCTCACTCATACTCTTGCACTCGCACTCACACCTGTCGTTCGGCCGGCAGAGCGAATAGAGATAAGCAGCAGAGAACAAACACAGCGCTAATTGTTTGCCGCCAACAAAACGTGCGACGCAATAGAAGCGAAAAAGGCAAACGCAATAGCAAAAGCAAATGCAATTGTTGATAAGAGAAGCTAAAATGGGTTTTTTTTTTGTTCAAATACATATTTTTGGCAAATAAGCAACATATCGATAAATCACACACATGTGTGTGTGTGTGTATATATTTGGACTTTGCAATAATTCAAAGATGTTTTTACTACAAGTTTCTATGTTGTAGGGCATGCGTGCACGCACGTAGGCCACACAGCTGCCTAAGTGGGGAGGGGGAGTGAGGGGGATGGCGCATAGCTTTTTTATTTCCATGCATTTGCAGTGGTTGCTTTTGGGTGGCCCGGGCGCGCCCACTTACTACTCACACACACACATGCATATACATGCATGTATATGTGTGCATGTATACAAGCAGACAAATAGCGTAGTTTTGTGCTGCTTACACAGAGAACTGACAACTCAGCTGATGACGAATCAGCAGTTGGCGCGCTCATTGCAAGTATTTGGCTATTTTTATGCATTTTATTCAATCAACAAACAACCAAAATAACAGAAAAATTGTAGTGTAGGGCCGCAAGAAACAGAAACAGGGGCCGCCTCGTCGTCAGACGCGCCATTTATAGAAACGAAGCAGACAGCAAACAGCGCAGCAGCATCGAGTCAGCTGCTGCTGCTGCCGCTGTACATACACACGTTTCGTATTGCGCGAAAGAGAACGAGTCACTTGGGCACTTCCCATACGTATTGGAAGCAACTGGAAGCATTAAGAGAACGGCACACGTGTTTATGTTCACGCCTAATTCGGTGAGCGCCAGAGCGAGAGAGCAAGTGCAAGTGGCGTCGGCAAAAGCTTGAGCCGTCCACATGTTTTTTTTGTTTCGCTACAGCCGCTGCCTCGGCTGCGGCCGCGCTGCTGCAGTACCATTTCCGTTTCAAGCGAAACGAAATGAGATGGCAACGAAACTTAACGAAGCCACGCTCTCTTACTCTACCGCTCTCACAAACGGTTCGTGTGCATGCGAGTGTGTGTGTGAGTGTGTGTAAGAGAGCCCAGCATGCTAGCAACATTTATGACGATGGCTACGAAACGCCGGCGAATATTGAAAAACTTTTCGTATTGGAACTGTTGCTGCTGCTGCTTGCCTGCCTGCCTGCCTGCGCTTGCTTTGGTGGTGTGTTTTCGTAGCGGCCGTCACCACCCGTGTGTGTTGGAAAAAAGTACAGTCGCCGCAAAAACGCCGCTGCCGCTGCCTGCGCGCAGCCGTTTCTGCTGCTCTGCTGCTTAGCTGCTTGTTGGCTGTCTGTCTGGTTGGTTGCTTGGTTTGTTGGTTGGTTGGTTGCTTGCTTGCTCGAACGCGTTGGCTGGGATTCTTGTTGGAACACAGCGACGAGTGTCTCGCGCGCGTTTGAGCGGCTTTTTGTTTACACTCACACCCATAGCCTACTCTATATATGTGTGTGAATGTGTGTGTGTGTGGCCATTGTACAGCTGTGGTTTTAACTTTTTTTGTTTGCGCCTGAGGCAATTTTTTATAGCTTTTTGCCGGCATTTTCCGACTGCGTTGCAGATATGACGACGACATTTTCTTATTAGCCAAGGCCTCAGTTGCCGGTCTCCCTGCAGCTGCCATATGATGTGTGGCATTCCTTGCCAAACTTGTTCCAATAAGAAAACGATAAGAAGTTTCGTTTAATTCTAAGAGCTTTCCGATAGGGATATTTAGCAATTGGAAAAGTGCAGTCCAATAAGAACATACTGGACAGCTGAATTAGATTAGGGCAATGTATCTTTCAGTTGGATTCTCCTACCAAAACACATTCTAGCATATTCTTAAAGCTTTCTGATTGGGTTTAAGACTTACACTATCTTCCAATAAGTGTTTAAGCTTTGATTTCTGACTAAAACGCTTTCTGATTGGTTTCTAACATACCGATTCAATTGGGAATGCATATTTTGAACATACAAATTAGAAAAACATATTTTAATTAATTTGATTTAAATCAAAAAGCATTTGCAAGAAAAATTATTCGTAGATTCTTCTTCTAATGCAAACTCGTCTTAACTTTCGCCTAGTTAATTATGAGGCAAAGCACGGCTCTTGCTAATTCTAGCTGTGCTGCAGCTTTCCAATGCTAAGCAGCATTCTTCCAATATGTTTCCAATGCAATCCAACAACAACAATGCGCACGCTAAAGTCAATGAACGGCCTTTGGAAGCCGCAATAGCAACAAAACTGAATAGAATAAATTAACATAGAAAAAAAAGTGCATGTTTAATGCGCTTTGTTTATTTGATTTTGTTTTAATAAAATATGCGCGCGACATTGCAATGTGCTGATTTTTATCACAGCCAAAGCTAAGAAAACTGTACTCAATCTCTGCCTCTCGCTCGCACGCACGCTCGCACGCTCAGCCAGCCGCTCTCTATTTACTATGTGCGCAACATATCAAAACAACGTAACAGCCCAGACAGCTGTGCATTGAGCGCGAGAGAGCGAGAGAGAAGGAGAGAGCAGCAGCAGCAGCTGTGTGTAGCCGGTGTCGTGCGCTAGTTGATGATGTCGCTGTCGCTGTTGTTGTTGTTGTTGTAGTTGTGACCTCCGACAACAAGCGGCGGCGACGTCCAGTAAAATCGTGAAACGAGTTTTATGGCTGCAGCAGCCGCAGCAGCGATTTATTATTTTTTAATCAAAGCCAAAGCCAAAGCAAATGCAAAAGCAAAAGAATTTCCACAAAGCTTCTCGCATTCCATTGCCATGATGCAGCGTCGTCTGCAGCAAGATCTGCTCTGCGGCTGCTTGCTGCATTCCTTGTGGGTGTTGCCAGATGGTTTGTTGTTTTGTTTTGTTGCCATTTTGTTTTTCATGCAATTCGCCTACGCAGTTGGCTGCTTTCTATGCCAGTTTTCACCGTTATGCGTGTGGCCCACGCACATTTGCAGTGTTGTGAAACAAGCGCAAAAATGCGCATCAACAGCTTTTGCATGCGCTCTTTGACGCACACAAATGCAGCTATGCTGAGTAATAAATACATGCGTGTGTGTGTGTGTGTGTGCGTGTGTGTTTGCTTGTGCTGAGAACGCGCGCATTTTGAAGGACACAAGTTCCTTCACCTTTTGGGCAAGTCACAACAGAACACAACACAGCACTAACATAACGAAGAAAACAACAACTACATACCTCAACGGGCTTACTACACTATTTACTATAAACGCGCTTCCACTACCAATGCAAATTCCAGCACGGTAGCAACAACAACAACACTCGGCACTTATTTTTATATGTACATAGATATTTGTGTGTTTGTGCATGTATGTATGCGTGCATTCATTTGCGGTAATTATCAAAGCTCACGCTCTCTCTCCCGCCCTCTCTCTCTCTCTCTTTCAATTATGCTGTGCTACTTCGCTCTGCGGCGTCTTGTGAATGAGTTTCATTGTAAACAGCGCAGACTACGTTGCCGTTGTTGTTGTTGTTGGTGTGTGTGTAGAATGTGCATGCAGATTTATGCCTGTATGTGTGTGGGTGTTCGAAACCAAGTTTACACGATGCACAAAATTGAGATATTCACGAATTTTGCAAATGTTTCTATTATTTACATATTAGTTGCTGCAAAAATGATTGTAATTTTGGCAAAAACGTTTATCTTTAAACAATTTATTTAAAATATTTATATATATATTTGTATATAGCATAAAATCTACCAGTTGTCTGTCTATCCAGTTTCGGAAAATGTTAGCTTAAATAACCTGAATTCTCTAATGACTTTTTCACATTATGGGAATAGCTTAAAATCGATTGATTGCGGCATTTGAAAGACAATCAATCAACAGACTTAAACCAAATTTTTCATCTACTATAGATGTTTTTATATTTTCTTAGTCGTTAAATGTAATATAAAGATAACTGCAGTGATTGTCAGTCATTTCATCGATCGGTCAGTCAATATGAACCATTATCAGTCAATCTGTCAGTCCATTAATCAATCAGTCAGTCAAAATAAACAATTATCAGTCAATCTAGCAATCAATCATTAAGTCAATACAAACAATTATCAGTCCATGTGTCATTCAATTAATCAATCAGTCAGTCAACAAGAACCATTATCAGTCAATCAGTTTGTCATTCTTTTAATCAATCAGTCAGTCACTTAATTCAATAAGTCAGTCATCAGATTATCAGTAATTTCATCAATCAATCAGTCTGTCAGTATGAAACATTATCAGTCAGTTTGTCAGCCCATCAATCAATCAATCAGTCAGTCTTATGATTGAGCCTAAGTAAGAGATCACTCAATATTAACAAAAATGTTAATTAAATGTTATGTTATGTCAAATGTTATCGTAACAGCAAAATGTTAATGTGCTTCTGTTAATTCTTTGCAGGCTGCCATATTGCAACAGACCTTCCAATATATTGTGGAGCTGGAGAACCAGAAGACACAGCTGCTGACGCAGAACAGCGAACTGAAGCGACAGGTGGGCGAGCACGAGGCCAACGGAGGAGGCGCCTCTGGAGGCGCCTCTGGAGACAATTACAGCAACAGCAATGCGAACGAGACGAGCGGAGGAGGAGGAGGCGGGGCGAGTGCGGTGGCCATCAAGAAGCGCAAACTGACGGACAACGTGATCAACATGCAGACGATCAGCGACAGCTCCGACGAGGGACTCGGCTCCATGTCCCCGGAGCCCATGACGCTGCTCTCCGCGGGCGCCGGAGGCGGCGCAGCAGCGGCGGCAGCAGCAGCAGCAGCCGGAGCAAAGCTGAACAATGCGAGCATAATTGCGGCCAAGGAGCTGCTCGAGATGAAGAAGCAGCTGGAGAAGGAGCGCAGCCTGCGGCGCCTGCTCGAGGACGAGCTGCAGATGATCAAGCGGCAGCTGTACAGCGTGGCGACGGCGCCGCCGGGCACCGCGGTCGCCGCGGCGGCGGCCAACAGCAGCGGCAGCGGAAGCGGTAGCAGCAGCGCCTACATTCCACGCGAGGTGATCGAGCACACGGACAACTTTGTGCGCGCCGAGGAGCTGGAGGAGCTCGGCGGCACCGTCTCCTATGTGGAAATCGATGAGATGACCGGCCAGCAGCAGGTCGTGGTCTGCTCCAGCATCGAGGAGCTGGAGTCGGATGCGGCAGCGGAAATAATTAGCGAGGATCAGGTGCACGAGGAGGTGATACTCTCGTCGAACAGCTCGACGGAGTCCGAGAACGAGGTGAACGTGAATGCCATTGCCAAAGCCTATGCCGAGGGCATGAGCACGCCCATACTCCAGGCGGCGATCAAGGCCACGCCCAAGGTCGAGGTGGAGCGCATCAACGAGAAGATTGTCAAGGTCAAGACCGAGAAACTGGACCAGCCGACGACAACAACAACGGTAATGGGCGCCACGGCCGTCTTTACACGCTCCCGCCAGAATCTGGAGACCATTGTCGAGGCCATCCGGCATCTGGAGGGCGATCATCTGTTCGCCGACGGCGATCAGCAGCACAAGCTGCAGCAGCATTATCAACAGCAGCCGGCGCAGTCGCAGCATCATCCGCAGTCGCAGCATCAGCAGCAGTCGCATCATGCGCAGCAGCATACGCAGCAGCAGCATCATACGCAGCAGGAACTGCATCCGCAGCAGTCGCATCATCAGATCATCAGCACAACTGTTGCCGCCGGATATCGTCTGGCGCAGGATGCGCCGCTGGCGTTGACCACGGGCAAACAGCATGCGGCGCTGGCCGAGCTGCGTCCGTTCCTGCAGTTGAAGGGCAACAAGCAGGTGATCATTACGGCCAAGTCGGCCAAGGATGTGGGCGGCACTGTTAGCAGCGTCACGCCTACAGCGATATTCAAGGTGCAGACCAGCAGCAGCGCGACGGCGGCGGGCGTGGGCGGTGCCGGCGGCGCGAGTCATCATCAGCCGGTGACCATCACAACATCGCTCAAGCAGTGTCGTCCCGGGGTCATTGTGGCCAAGCAGCTGCCGTCGTCCTGATTGCCCAACAACAGCAGCAGCAGCAGCAGCAGCAGGAGTAACAGCAACATTAACAGCAGCAGGAATAACAGCAACATTAACAGCAGCAGCAGCAGCAGCAGCGCCCCACGAGCTAGTATTAAAGGCGCGCGCAATAACATAACTGTAACAGCAGCAGCAGCAGCAGCATTAACAGCAGCAGCAACTCCTAAGCGGCGCAGCTATGTTAAGCAACAGCAGCAGCTGCGCTTTAACAGCGCTGTTAGGCCTCACTAGAGCAAAGCTTGCGCGCTGCTCTGTTAAGCTGCTGCTAAAAACAAACAAAACAAAACAAAACAAAAAAAAAACAAACACAAATTAACGGCAATTGTATAAAATTAGTAGAAAATGCAAGAATTTTGTGCAGTCGAGAACTCGTTATTTTTTGTTTAATTAATTGATTATTTTGTGTTTTTAACAAAACAATTTTTCCATTTTGCAAAAAGAAAACCACAAACTCACTTTAAATAGCCACTGTAATTAACAAAAAAAAAGCAAAACAACAACAATTTGTTCATTTATTGTTTAAGTCAATGTGTGAGAAACAAAAACAAAAACAAAACGAAAGAAAACTACAACAGGCAGTAACAACAAAACAGAGTACAAAAAAACAAAATAGACATAAAATTTTATGATTTTCTGTTTATTACAACACACACACACACACACACGCACGCATACATACAAACACCTAAAAAGAAAAATACAGCAAATTAAGCAAAATTCAAAATGTATTCAATAAGCAACAAAAACGAAAAATTATATATATATATAAATATATATAAAAAAAAAAACGGTACATGCTATATAGATACACATATGTGTATGTATAATATATATATATATATATATGATGAGCATGTTGAACTCTATAAAAACCATCGCATTAATTTTTACATTTTTAAATTATTTTCTATTATTTAATTAATTTTAAAATTTACATATACACACACACACACACACATACAGAAAATACCAACTTAATTGTATTTTTTCCTTTTTCCCAAAAAAAAAAAAGCGAAAACGAAAATGCGAAAATTTTTTGGATTGGAACTTATCCGAGTTTTTGTTGAGTGTATAATCTAATTATAAGAGAGCGCGTGGTAAGAAGTGAGAGGATCGTTTATTATATAAACTACACACATACATATAAATATATACATATATATGTATTTATATATATATATACATTATAAATACATGCATACATACGACATAAGCTAACGCAACATTACATAATATTACTACTAAATACGAGTACATTAAACATATATATATATATATATATAAATCCATAAATACACACACACATACACACATAGATATATATGTATGTCAAGTAAATAAATATGCTTTAGTACATAAGTGCAAGCAGCAGAGTTGAAAGTTTCAAAGTATAGAAGAGTAGAGAAGAGAAGAGAGAGGCCGCTGCAAGTGCAGCTCAGAAGAAAAAGAAAAACAGTAATGAACGCCCCATGCATGTGTGAGTGTGTGTGCGCGTATGTGTGTGTGTGTGTGTGTGTGTGTGTGAGAGTGGCTGGCGCTTAGACGACAAGAGAGAGAGTGTAGATTGCCTGCAGCTCTCTGCTTAGCCGCTGGAACGCTGCGCGCACGCAGAGCAGTCAGCTTTTGTCCGCGCCCCAAAGACACCAAGTGTCTAAGCGAGGCAGCGGCAGCAGCAGCTCTGCTCTGCAGCGCAGCGTAGCAACGGCTTTGGCCACCCCCCACCACCCACAATGGAGAGAGAGTTTGAGAATGATGGAGAGAGCGGCGCTCCACCCATACACATATAACACACCCACACACGATGCACGCGCGCGCGCACACACACACACACGCACAGGCACACACATTTGCACATGCATCGGGCATTTTTGGCAATTGAAGAGCGCGGCCGTTAGATTTACAGCTAAACAACAACAAGAACAACAACAACCACATGTTTATGCATTATATAAGCCAGATCATACATACAAACAACATATTACTACGTACATTCATGCTCTATATAAACAACAAACAAAATACATTAAATAATTAAACAAAAAAAACAAAAAAAAAAAAAACAAAAAATACGAAAATAACAAAAAAATTATGTCAAATAAATGGTTTTTCCTTTTCCCCTCAAAGAAATGCAATTTGTGCTTTTAATCAACCAATTGGGAAGTCCACAAATAATGTAAAGTAACATATGTATGTACATTCAGTTAAGAATTAGATATATATATAACTTTTTTTTTGGAAGCGACATCTTAGAATAATTAATCCTTTAAAAAATATCATTATCTTGATTGTGTATGAATATGTATTCATTTGTATGTGTATGCATGTATGTGCATATGTATGTGTATGCATGTATGTGCGTATGCATGTATTTACGTGTGCGTGTATGTGTTTATCTATTACTGTGCGTATGATAATGTGTATGTGAATGTGTTTGTGTGTGTATGTGTGTACGTATGTGTACACGTGTGTGTATGTACATATATATGTATGAATGTTTGTATTAGTGTCTGAAAGTATACAAGTATTTTGTACGAAGGCAAATAAGTAATTTACATGTGCGTGTGTATATGTATGTGTGTGTGTTAGTGTATGCTTGCACTTATGTATGTATGCATGCATGTTTGTTTTCTGTACCGCAAATGTAAATAAAACGAATTTCTGCCAAGTGCTCTCCTCCTCGATTCTCAAGAATTCAAGTAGGCCCGGCAGTTTTTCATGTTTTGCTTAGTACAACTAAGTTATTTGTGTAGTGTTTGTGTAGTATTTTTTTTGGTATTTTTTTCGGTGTTTTTCTTGTTATTGTTTTTTTTTTTGTATGAATGTACATTTGTATGTATAATATGTACATATGTATGTGTGTATGTATATATTTGTGTGCGTATGTTATGTATGTAGGTACGTACATATGTATGTCAGTGCGTATGTTATGTGTGTAAATGCATCCTAACGTACACCTTAATCACAAAAGTTAACTTCAGTGAAAATTTCATAGAGCTTACGAATTTCGACGAGCTCTATTTACGAAATTATCAAAAGTTCCTCCTTCAAACACGGAAATGGAAATAGCCGAGGATCGGATTGAGTGTAGGAAAATAGGAAGGCAGATCAGGAAAGCGATTGAAATAGAAGAATCGGAGCTGTTCGGCGGCTAAACAGGTGAATTCATTGAAGATATATTAACTAAAAATAAAAGAAGCGATTGGCATTATATATGCACTTTAATATAAACATATATATATGTGTACAATTTGTAGTTCCTAGGTACATAAGATAAATATAGGAATTATCACAAGCTCAATACGAATATGAACTTAAGCTAAGTTAACTAAAGAGTTGGGGTTAGTTGCGGTGCTAGAGCTGCTCCTCCTCAATTTGCACGTCAGTTGAGAAGACATGCATGTCCCTGCGTCGGGCAAAGAGTAGCTCCTGCCGCTTGGGATGCGTGGCCAGGGAATGCACCACGCCGCCATTGTCACCTGGAAGCGAATATAATAATTAAATAAGGGATACGCTACTTATGAGTGTCAATGAAATTCGGGTTACTTATGCGAATGCGCTGCAGGACCTTCGCTTCGAGCAGATCCCAGACGTAGGCGTCGCCGGCACAGGAGCCGGCGACAATGTGCGCATCGTTGGACAGAAAGCCGCACTCGATGTGATAGTCGTCGGCCTGATGGCCCTTGTACTCGGACAGCAGCCCGCCCGACTCGCAGTCGAGCAGGCGCAGCGCACTGTCCTGGCAGCCAGCCAGGAGGCACTGCTCGTCGCGCGTCTGCGCCAAATAGGTGATCGGCTGGCCAATCTTGTCGCAGGTCAGCTCGCCCACGCGTATGTCATAGTGGCGCACACAGCCGTCCAGCGAGGCGGCAAAGATCTTGTGCTCGTTGGTGAGCACCGCAGTGATGCAATCGCGTGCCTCCTTCATCACCTGCACGGGATCCAGGCGGCGGGTGCGTATGTCCCAGCACATGACCGCGTTGTCACGCCCGCCGGATATCGCTATGGAGGAGTCCTCGTTAAAGCACACGCAACGCACGCCGCCGGCATGGCTGCGCAGACGACGCACAGGTGTGCCTGGGGAGAAGTAGATAGATATTTCATATATGCCAGGAGTTAATATCCCGTTTTAACGCACCTGTGGAGACATCCCAGTAGATGATGCTCTTGTCCAGGCTGGCGGAGACAATGTAGCTGCTGTCACAGCTGCCGGCCGCATCGGTTACCTCGTCCGCATGCCCGCCATAGGTCTTCAGCAGCAGGCCCGAGGCTGGATTCCAGAGTTTTATCTTTTTGTCCGAGCCACAGCTCATGCAATAACTGCCATCCACTAAAAACGAGAGTACAGCTAAATATGTCTAGGGAAAGGCCAACATTTTCAAGGCTTACCATTGTAACGCACCGCACGCACAGCTCCCTGTTTGCAGTCGATGGTTTTGCTGCAGTTAAAGTCGAGAAAAGTCGGCATTTGTTTATATGAACTAAATGCACAAAACTTAGAGATGAGCATTCGGCGAGTATCGCCTGCAAAAGTTACTAGTTGCAATCGATGATCGTAGTTGAGCGATGATCGCATCACGACACGAGCACGACACATCACCAGCACAGCACGCCTGACCTATCGATAAATGAATATTAACACATTCATAAACGGAGCTTGCGAAATTATAAAATAGTGCATTAAATAATATTAATAAAAGTAAATGAGCAGTGTGAAGTGTGACCAGAAATTGTTATTCGCAGTCACGTTCACGCTCTCTTTTGCGCAGTTCTAGTCAAAGCTGGTGGCAACGCTGAAACAGTGCTAGCAAACGCGCACAGGTCAAATAAAATGACGCCGAAAAATGGCAAAACGCGTCGCGCTGGCCAAAGCAGAATGCCAACAATAATAAAGCAGCGGCAACAACAAAACAGTCGACGCAACGCACGGGTTTTTTCCGCAACAAACAAATCAAATAAATGTTAAAAGTATTAACTAAAACTGTGTTAAATTCGTGCAAAAAATATATTGTTGTTACCTCAATTAAATCAAAGTTAAAGAAACGACGCAAATTCCTTGGCATACGCAGCAAGCACGTGTGTTGGCGGGGGGAGGCGAGGCGCGCTATTTTTGATGCTACGCAATAAGGCAACGCTACGCAATTTCAGCTGCTGCTGCTGCGGCCGCTGCTGCTACGCACCTGCCAAAACCGAAGCGCTGCTGCGGCCGCTGCCGTTAACGCTGCTGCTGACGTGTGCAAACGAGTGCGAAGCGACGACAGGATATTTAACGGCAAAAACAACAACAACAACAACAACAAGAGGAAGAAGAGCAGAAACCAACTGCACGACAAAATTAACGAAGTGTCAGTGCAATTGAACGACACGACGCACGCATACACACACACACGCACACACACATACATACACATACACATACAGCAATAAAAAGCTAACGAAAAGACAAATTGCTGTAAAAAATGCAGCGCCACGGAGAGCGCAGCAGATTGCATAAAAATCCTGCTCAAGAATAAGTGCACACACACACACACACACACACATACTAGAGAGCCGCACATAGAAGCGCGACAAAGCAAAACAAGAAGAAGAAAAAAATAAGTCCGAAAAAAAAGGGCAAACACAGTGCGCACAAACAAGGTGGAAAGTAAAAAAGTTGTTTGTCAACTTGTTGGCGTCCATTGCACACACACACACACACAGACACACACACACACACAGACACAGACGCATACATTCCCCGCGAAACACCCGCGCAGCGCCCCTCAAATGTTGCAGCAACAAAGTGTCTGGCTGTACTGCTACTGCTACCAAGTGGAAATGCAAGTCCAGTGTGCATGCAACAGCGCCTGCGGCCAGTGCTAAGCAACAGCAGCAGCGCAGCAGCAAGAAGAAGAACAAGCAGCAGCAGCAGCAGAAACAAGCAGCAGCAGCAGAGTACGGTGCAAATCCTTTGGCAGCCATGTCAACGGTCACACGCAGCGCCAGCGCCAGCCCCTGCATGGCCCTCAATGGCATCATCGACGCGAGCCTCTTTCCCCTCAAGTCCACATCGGATGTGGTCAATCTCTTTCGGCGCGCCCTCACCAGCCCCATCGAGCCGGACCTGACGCTTCTCTCAATTGTCGTCGGCTACATTGAGCTCTCGCTGACCACGGGCGAGGCGGCCCAAGCGGCGCAGGCAGCCCAAGCGGCGCTAGGTGAGTGTTGACACACCCTCTCCCCTCCCCTACCCCCTCCCCTACGTCCCTTTCATAGCAACAACTCCGAAAATTTGTGTCTATTTCATATAGTTTTTTTTTTTAATTTCAAATTTTTTTATAATTAATTTTTTTTTATTTAAAATTGCATCATAAAAAGCGTGTTGATTTTTTTTTGAGAATTTTTTTTTATTTGTTGAGATTTTTTTTATTTTTTGTTCCCTACTCTAATTAAAGTTTTTTTTTTATTTTAATTTTAATTTTAAAATTTCATAAAATATTTTTTAAATTTTTCTCAATTACTAGAAAATTTTTTTTTTCAATTTTTATTGAGCTGTAACAAAAAACAGAAGTCTTTGATTTTAAAAAGTTTTGAAATTCGGCTAATATTAAATTTTCTTGTAAGGAAAATATGATTCCATTTATTATTTTATTTATTTTTTTTTTTTTTATTTTATTTATTTATTTATTAATGGTCGACAAAACGAGTGTCTTCCTCATTATTCAATAGAATATACAATAGAATTTTATGCTAAAAGCCTAGTTAAAGGATACAATTTTCTAAATAGCATCACCGACCGATGGAGGTGTTTTATTTGCCAGTCCGGCCAGCTATGCCCCTTTTCACAGCTAATTTTGTCAGTGACGCTATTAGAGCCTACATCTAAGCAGAAGGTTGTAAGTAGGAAAAAAGTGTTTTCAAGTAGCATTAAAATAATCTTAATTTGCTATATTAATAAAGAAAATACAATAAATAGGAAAAATGAAAGTAAGAAGAATTGTTAATAAAGTAAAGCAATGTAAGTTAGATAAAGAGTGTTAAGTAGATAGGACAGAGAGAAAAGTAATGGGAAATCACCGACCCGGTGGGGGAAAATTTTTCAGCCTGTCCGGATTGAATTGAAGACGCCCTAGCAGAAAAGGAGAATCTATGTCGCCAATAATCAACTTATGTAGAAGGACAACACCGAGAATTGTCCTACGGTTGGTTAACGACGGAAGGTTGAGAAGAAGCAGTCTGCTGGAGTAGGATGGCAACCGAAGATTAGGGTCCCAATTTAAACCTCGTAAGGCAAAAAGCAGAAATTGCTTCTGAACAGATTCAATACGATCCTGGCTGTTGTTATACTGTGGAGACCAAATGCAAGAGCAGTATTCAAGGATAGGGCGAACAAGAGAGATGTACAGAAGTTTTGTTATAAAAGGATCGTTAAACTCTTTAGACCATCGTTTAATGAATCCAAGTACACCTTTTGCCTCATTAACGATGGTATCTATGTGAAGATTGAAACAGAGTTTAGAATCAAAAATTACGCCTAGATCCTTAACTGTTAGTATACGTTGCAAAGGGATATTGTCGATTGTATAACTGACAAGATAAGGTGTAGTACGATTAAAAGTCATAAACATACACTTTGAACAGTTTAGATGCAATTGATTGGCCGAACACCATAGTTGCATAGCGTTCAAATCGTCTTGTAGACGAGAATGATGTAGGGGATTAGTGTATGATAGAAAAAGTTTGACATCGTCCGCATACATGAGTACACGGGCATGTGATATGACAGAGGGGAGATCATTTATAAAAAGGGTAAAGAGTAAAGGTCCAAGATGACTACCTTGAGGAACACCAGAAGTAACGTGAACCCGTTTAAAACATAATCAAAATGTTATTCTACATTCCTTCCAAATTGAATCAACCTCTAATGCTCTAAAGAAAAGTGCTCAGAAACTGTGTTTTATTCAGTGTTGGTAAATGTAAAAAAATTTGAAATTTAATTTCCGTCTGTTTTCGAATGCTTTTCTATTTTTTTTATTTAGTTAGCATTAACAGTTTCTTGATTTGAGAAATTAGGAATATTTCTATAAGCAGTCACAGCATATAGATACAGTGAAAGCTCGTTTGAACGGCTCCAGTTCCTATATTCTACCTGGACAGGTAGTTTCTTTTGAAAAATATGTTTGAACATTATTTCATAATTTACGCTCTGTTTTTGTGTAACTGAAAAGGTCAAGGTGCAGGTTAAAGATGGGCAATAATAAAGTTGTGCAGCCTAAGGAGTTTTCACTGTATTCAGAAGATTGAAAAATTATTCGAAAATGTTTTAGCATACTTTTTAGAGTGCACATTAAAATGTATTTCAATTCGATTTGCGCTTAAGCTAAAAATGGGCAAATCTGAAATGCGGAACACGCGCTTCTCTCTAAATATTTGGATTGTTGAATTTAATCGCTTTTTTTTGTTTCGATTCAAATTGCGAAATTAGGTGGCGGCAGTGACGTCATCATGGGCAACAGCGTGCCCTTTCCGGTGGTCACGCACGAGCTGATCGCCGGGCTGTACAAGAAATTCCAGACGATCTTGTCGGTGGTGGAGAAACCGAAGCCGCATCGCCAGGCGACGCGCGAGATCATCAAGAAGGTGTCCGATGTGATATGGAACTCGCTGATAAGGAGCAGCTACAAGGATCGAGCGCATCTGCAGAACCTCTACAGCTATTTGTCGGGCAACAAGCTGGACTGCTTTGGCGTTGCGCTGGCCACCACCGCCGGCTGTCAGCTGCTCGGCTATCGCGATGTCCGGCTGGCCATATCCGAGGATCACGCCTGGGTGGTGTTCGGGCAGAAGCATGTGGAGAGCATCGAGGTGACCTGGCACGGCAAGGGCAGCGAGGATAAGCGCGGCCAGGACATTGGCGCCGGCATCGAATCCGGCTCCTGGCTCTATCTGGGCGGCCTGGCCGTTGTCTGTGAGCGCGGCATGGAGGTGGCCGCCATCTGTGTCGCCCTCAACATCTCCCTGAGCGCGAACAGCGATTGTGTCGAGGTCGCCGAGCTGCAGCAGCAGCTGCTCTGGCTTCTGTACGATCTGGGCCATCTGAAGCGCTATCCAATGGCGCTGGGCCTGCTCGGCGAACTGGAGGAGATCCATCGCACGCATCGCAGCATCAGCTGTGAGCAGCTGTTCCGCGAGGCCATCGATTCTGCGCGCAACTATTACCACAACCATCATGTCTATCCGCACATCTTTCAGGGCAACTACTACAATCGCCTGCTCAAGTATCGCGAGGCGTTCGCCGCCTGGGCCAATGCGGCCGATGTCATCAGGCTGTACACGTATCAGTGCCGCGACGACGAGGAGATCTACAAGGAGCTGCTGGACATTGCCAACGAGCTGATACCCTATGTCATGAAAACGGAAAGCTCCGGCCACTCGGCGCGCAGCATTCTCCGCGACGCGGAGGTCTTTGCCAATCTGTTGCGCTTCTACGACGGCATCTGTCAGTGGGAGGAGGACAGCCTGACGCCCATTCTCCACATCGGCTGGGCCAAGCCGCTCGTTACCAACATTACCAAGTTCGACTATGATATACGCTCCCAGGTGGTCATCAAACTGCCCGAGGATCTGGAGGCCGAACAGGCCGCCGCTTTGGAGGCTAAAAAGGCAGCTGCAGCAGCAGCAGCAGCAACAACTGCAGCAGCTGCAGCTGCGGAGGCGACGCTGCATTTGGAGGGCAACAATAACAACAACAACAACAATACGCTGGCCAAAAAGGATGAGGTAAGACGCAGTTGCTCGGATCTATTATTAATTGAATGTGATGAAGGAAGCTAGCCTTTGAGATTAATGTACCATCATATCATAAAGGAAGCTGGCCTTTAAGCTGCATGTATTGTAAATATTCAATGGATGTTGATACCCTTTGTATATAGGTAAAGAGGGTGTTATGTTTTTGTGGCAACGTATGTAACAGGCAGCAGAAGGAAGCATCTCCGATGCCATAAATTATATATACCCTTGCTCCCGGGAGGTCGAGCTGAGCTGATCCAGCCATGTCAGTCTACTTGGATTGTAAGATATATGTATATTCTCTCCCTTATATCAGGCATTCATTTTGAGACTAGTTCGCATAGAAACAGACAGACGGACGGAACGAAAAATACATTACATAAAGTATATATAAGTCGATCGAATATGTCTCCTTCTATGCGTTAAACATTTCGAGACAAAATTATCATACCCTCTGCAAGAGTATAAATATATAAATAAGTCTGAACAGCTCACTCAAACATTGATTCATATTCACAGAAACCCAAATCGGAGCTGCCGACAACTCTGGCGGATTTGACAGCCGCCTGTGGCGAGAAGATACTGAATCCAGATTTTTTGCTGCAGGGCGGCGGACAGCCGTTCGCTGATCAAAAGCAACAAGCGGCTGCAGAGCAGACAACGTCCAGCGATCTGTCGCACAACAACAACAACATCAACAACAACAACATTAACACAAGCAGCAGCAAGGAGGCTGACAAGGAGGCTACAACAACAAGCAACGGCGGCGGCGGCAGCAGCAACATGGCGCAGTCGCCGTCCACCGAGGCGCAGATGCAGTCGCCGTCGCAGTCGCAGCACAAAGAAGCTAAATTGGAGGAGAGCAGCCAGCTGGAGCTGGCGAGCAGCAAGCCGGCCGCTGTCGATGATTACGATCCCTTTGAAATAATGCTAAAACGTCCGGTGATCACGCTGTACAGTCAGAAAATGAAGGGCCTGAAGGATCTGCTGCTCGCCGAGAAGCTCAACACGCACGCCATCTCGCTGCAGGTGACCGCCCAGTCGGTGGCATCGCGCAAGGTGCGCGGCGGCGGCGGCGCCGACAGTCGACAGCCGGCGACCATATCGGCTACCATCACAGCGATTGCCTCGACAGAGGGCGGCGCTGTTGGTGGCGGGGCTGGTGCTGGCAATGCGACGAGTGCCACGTCGACGGATTCGATTGCACCGTCGCGGCCGAAGCGTACCAGACGCGAGTAAAAAATAACCTATTGAAGGAACCTGTAGTAATTTGTTGTTTGTAATTATTATATATTTATGTGTATGTATATCGTATATTGTAAAGTTTGCTTCAAACCGGCAGCGAGTAAAACACTCGCTGTAATTGTTGCCGGCGAGTGCTCGTCCTTACTGCGAGTTGTTTGCTCGTTGTGGTCTAAGGCATATATTGTAAAGTTTGCTTTAAGCCAGCAACGAGTCAAACACTCGCTACACTTGAAGTTAGCGAGTGCTTACCTTAACAGCGAGTTGTTTACTAGCTGTGGCTCAAAGCATACAGTGTCAAATGTGCTTTAAACCAGCAACGAGTAAAACACTCGCTGTAATTGTTGCGAATTGTTTACTCGTTGTGGCTTGTCAGCGACTTGTAACTGTGTGTGTGTTGGCATTCGATTGACACATGCGATAATATTAATCCTTTATTATTATGCATATATATATGCACTATCAATATTTTCGATGTTCGATGTGTATTTATGTAGTTTGTAAGCGCGAAACAAAACCGTTAGAGAACGCTTAGCGTTTTAAAAAGAGACACACCCACACACACACACACACAAACACACATAGCTCTCAACTATTTATAAAGGTTCGCACCTGGCGAGTCAAGCTCCAGAAAGTAGCGATTGAAGGTGAGAGCAAACGAATGCAGCGAGTCCTCCACTCGCCATTTGTGCTAGAACGTTTAACGTATTGTAAAACCTGTTAAAATAATTGACTTTTTTTTGCGTCTATTTATTAATGCAACTTGTTTGCCGTATTCCCGAGAAAAACCTTGTTTTTGCTTAAGCTCAATCGTAATTTTATTGGTGCTCTTCTTGAAAAAAACAAAAAACAAAAAAACAATTGAAATATGTATATGTAATGGAAATAACGTATGAATGTATGATGCATTTTATGAGGCTAAGCTGATTAATTTAATTTACAGATTGTATACATGCATGTTCGTAATAGTTTTATTCAAGCCCAAAAAAAAAAAAACAAACAAATCTAAAATCAAAACACGACCGCAACATAGAACATTTTTGAACGCAACAGAAAACATATTTAACACTTCCTCTCTATATGTGATAAACTGTTTTTTCTAGAAAGCTTTCAACTACTATATGTACTAGATACGTATTTAGTCATACAAACACACACATATATATATATATTTATCAACTTAAACACTAACTAACACACACACATACACACACACACACACGAGGGCCGTGCAACTTAAGGGACGTGGGACGCGGCATGCACTTTTTAAATACTTGATCAAATTAGCAGCACCAGCGATGCAAGCAAAACTTATATACTATATTATTTTTTGAAAACTTTCGAAAAGCAGCACTTATTAGTATTAAAAAACAAAACAAAAATATGTTATTTGAAATATCCTGTAATAATCAGTTATGCGCGGTCGTAGGACATGACATTCTAAAGAGGTCAGCGTGAGAAGTTTTCAAGCAAAATGGAGCTTAAAAAAACAAATTGTTAAATGATGATAATAATTGCATTTTTATTTGTGCGTTGTGCGTCTGTGATGAATAATGTATATGAGCAGAAACAGAATGAAGCGGTAGAAGAAGAGCGTTGAAGCCCATTTAAAAAAAAAATTAAATCCAATACAAAGCAAAAAACAAAACAAACACAAATCGAACAATAAGTTCAAAATGGTATAAACAATATTCAAATGTATGGTGTTTTATTCCTTTATAAAAAGTAGCATATTTAAACAGAAATAAATCTATAATAATACATATGTAGATATATTTTGGCATACAAAATTTATAAAATAAGCTGAAAACCAAAAAAAGGAAAAAAAAAAAAAACAAACAACAACAAAAACATTTAAAGAAAAACAACAGTTTTGGCAAGCGAAAATCCAACTAAATGAAAAAATAGCCTATGCAAAAAAACAAAATGCAATAAATCAAAAGCATACCGCAAACTATTTATTATAAATGTTAACGTTACGTACATTTCAACTGCTCAATAACCCTATTAGCTTGAAATACAAATAGCCACAAGTCAAAATGTTAAATAAAAAAAATATATAAATAAATGCATAATTCAAATAGCAGCCAAAGAGCGCGCGCAATTCGATCTGACAATCTGGCAGCGCTGTGCATGTAGTGCCGGTAAGCAGAACGATTGCCAACGTTGCTCAACACTAATGTAATCGATATATCGTATTGTACAGAAATCTCTAGACAAATGACTCGGCATCATTTCGGCAGAGCGTCAAATTGTCAGAGAGAAAAAAAATTGTTTAACAATTAAAATTCAGCTTTAAGTCACACACAAACATTCGAAAAATGTCTGCGCCCGACAAAGAGAAGGATAAAGATAAGGAGGAGTCAAATCAGAAAAGCGAAGACCTGGGTCTGCTCGAGGAGGATGACGAGTTCGAAGAGTTTCCCGCGGAAGGTGACAATTTGTTTTATTTGTTCGCTCAAAATGGCATTTTACAGGCATTTTGCGTTGCAGATTTTCGCGTTGCCGACGATGTGGAGGAGCCCAACGTATGGGAGGACAACTGGGACGACGACAACGTCGAGGACGACTTCAGCCAGCAGCTGAAGGCCCATTTGGAGAGCAAGAAAATGGATACATGATTTGGCCCGCGTTCGTACCTAACCACACAATGAGCGTAAACAGTTAAAACTTTAGCAATAAACAATGGATATATTAAGTCTACAACGTGCGTTCGTCAACAATTTTGGTGAAAACCAGTTTGATGTGCTCGGCCGTACGCTGCTCCTCATCGATTTGATTCTGCAACCTGATCTTGCCCTGCTCCAGCTCCTCCACGCTCTCCGTTTGCTGGTTAATTTCCGCTTCCTGTTCGGCGAGCTTCTGCTTTGGCGCGAGTGCATCCTGCTCGTATTGCAGCTTGAGCGCTTTCAGCTCCTTCTCACACAGCTCGATTTGTTGTTTCTGTTTCTCCCTGACGGCCAGGAAGCCCTGATGCTTGGACAACACTGCAGCATGCTTCTTTTCCATGCGTTCCTTCAGCTTGAGCTGTTCCTTGTACTCGTCGAGCACCTCGGGCGGAAGTATCTGCATGGTCTTCTCGATTTCGTCGTTCAGCAGCTGATTTGTTTCAATCTCAACGCGTCGCTCCTTGTAGAGCTCCTCCTGCTTGGCCATTTCCTCCTTGCAGCTCTTGATACGGGCAACTATCTGTGCGTTCTGCCTGTTGAATGGAAAAAGAGGATCAGAATGGCAAATGACACCTGGTTCCTGTTGCTTATAAGTCGATTTACGCTTCCACATCGGCCACATCGCTGTCCTGGACCAGCAGCTGCTTGAAATGCTGCACTTGGTTGGTTATTTCCGCCAGCTGCTCCTCCTGCAGAGCAAATTCGGCTTGCTTCTGTCTTAGGATTCTAGACTGCTCGTGCAGCTCCGCCTCCGCCTTGGGCAGCTGATCGTGCAGCCTGGCTATGTTGGCCTGCGCCTTGCCTATGTCCACCTTGATCTGGGCAGCTCTCTGTTTGCTCTGCTCCAGTTCGTTGCGCTTGGACGTGATTGCGGCGATTAGGAACTGCCGCTCCTTGTGCTGCTCGACAATGGGGGAGAGGACCTCCTTTTTGTGCATTTTGTAGAAGCATCTGTAATTGAAGAGCACGTCCAGGGTACTCGATGTCTTCTTGGCAGCTGCATTTGTTAAAGGTGCATTTAATTATTGTTTTAATTACTATTCAAGCTTTATGCATACTTGGCTCGATTATGTCCATGTAGGTGAACATTTTGCCGGGAAACGAGATTTGCACAATGCGCTCCACTTGCCGGCACAGCTTGCTCAGGAACTGGCGCTTCTCTCTGGACGTATCCTTGGCCTCGTTCTCGATATTATACGGCGGCTCCATTCGAAATCCAAACGAACGTAAATAGTGTATCAGGACCTTGGTGAGAAATGCTTCGGTGGGGTGCGATACCTCATTGAGGCGCACATTCAACTCGGGAAATAACGAATTGGCTGTCGCGCAGATCAGCTCCAAGGCTTCGTTATTATTATTCATAATTTGTTTGAATTTTATTTATTGCTACAAAATTTTCTGCAAACGCGTCAGTTTGCCGCTTTGAATTGACTCTGGCTTCGATAAGCAAACAATATTTACTCGATATATCGATAGGCATTTCCCGCAATACTTTTAAGTGTTGTAAAACACGCGTGAGCGTCAGCTGCTGAACTAACGGCTTTTAAAAGTGCAGTTACCATGTGAACCACGCGTTGTTTTATATTAAAGTGAAAAGTGCGAAATGACATCCTCCAGCGCTGTGGAAGACGAACGGCTAACCGACTCGGATTTATCCGATGATGAAGGTATTTATTAACATTAACACTTTACGCTAGTATTCACTTCGATTATCCCGCACAGAGCACAAGGTGGAGGTACAGCAGGAGGAGATTCGTCCGCCAACGCCGCGGCCAACATATACAGATGAGGATCTCAATCAATTGCTTGAGGCTATACAGCGCATGACCACGCTGTACTCGCTAAATCAACAGGATTGGCATGAAGAATCGCTGGACAATATACGCCGCTGGCTGCTCGAGGTCAATGAACCCCTGCTGACCATTTTCTATGCCGAGAATACACTCACCGCTTGTCTGGGCTTTCCTACCCAGCCGGTGGATGACATAAGCTACTTTTTTCGCGGCGAGCCCAACGAGATATTCACCGTTGATGGCTTCCACGACGAGATTCACTTTGGCACCATACACAGCGATGTCGATGGCTGTTGGATGCGTCTGCTCGAGCGCTTCTATGCGCCCATCTTTCGCAACTACAAAGATTGGAACCAGACGGTGCGCGCCCGCTTCTGCGCCAGCCTCGACAAGCTGTTGGCCTTTCTGTTCGCCATGAACTCCAAGATTGGCGGCATAACGGCCCTCTATGTGCCATTTGTGCTGCATCAGATTGGCGGCGAGCAAATCGTCTGCGACAGGCCGCTCTTCAATAGCCTGGAAAGCATTGCCGTCTACTGGACAACCCAGATACGCACCGTGATAGGCGATCGCACTTTGATGGCAGCCAACGAGTTGGCCACAATGAATGATGAGTACGAGTTCTGGCTGTACCGCTGTGAGTACAATATTTATTTCGTTTTTATATATATACGTATATTCTATTGGCGGGTATACCCCGGGCCTTGCCCGTGGTACGTATAAAATAAAATTCACAAATTTATATGCCACCTATGTCTATATAGGATATTTGAGGGTACCATTTTCACATGAATTTTGGCCAAAAATAGTGTTACCAGATTTTGATGCAGAATTACTCTAGAGGCCAATCCATAAACAAAAAGTCAAACCTTTTGAAAATCGGATGCGATTTGACCGAGTTATGGGGGTGGGAAATTTCAACCTATGTCTATATAGGATATTTGAGGGTATCATTTTACATGAATTTTGGCCAAAAATAGTGTTACCAGATTTTGATGCAGAATTGATAATGAGGCCAATCCATGAACAAAAAGCCAAACCTTTTGAAAATCGGATGAGATTTGACCGAGTTATGGGGGTGGCAAATTTCAACCTATGTCTATATAGGATATTTGAGGGTACCATTTTTACATGAATTTTGGCCAAAAATAGTGTTACCAGATTTTGATGCAGAATTACTCTAGAGGCCAATCCATGAACAAAAAGCCAAACCTTTTGAAAATCGGATGATTTTTGAGCGAGTTATGGGGGTGGGAAATTTCAACCTATGTCTATATAGGATATTTGAGGGTATCATTTTTACATGAATTTTGGCCAAAAATAGTGTTACCAGATTTTGATGCAGAATTGATAATGAGGTCAATCCATGATCAAAGAGCTAAGCCCCGTGTAAATCGGATGATTTTTGAGCGAGTTACAGGGGTGGGAAATTTTAACCTATGTCTATATAGGATATTTGAGGGTACCATTTTCACATGAATTTTGACCAAAAATAGTGTTACCAGATTTTGATGCAGAATTACTCTAGAGGCCAATCCATGAACAAAAAGTCAAACCTTTTGAAAATCGGATGCGATTTGACCGAGTTATGGGGGTGGGAAATTTCAACCTATGTCTATATAGGATATTTGAGGGTATCATTTTTACATGAATTTTGGCCAAAAATAGTGTCACTAGATTTTGATGCAGAATTACTCTAGAGGCCAATCCATGAACAAAAAGCCAAACCTTTTGAAAATCGGATGATTTTTGAGCGAGTTATGGGGGTGGGAAATTTCAACCTATGTCTATATAGGATATTTGAGGGTACCATTTTCACATGAATTTTGGCCAAAAATAGTGTTACCAGATTTTGATGCAGAATTACTCTAGAGGCCAATCCATAAACAAAAAGTCAAACCTTTTGAAAATCGGATGAGATTTGACCGAGTTATGGGGGTGGCAAATTTCAACCTATATCTATATAGGATATTTGAGGGTACCATTTTCACATGAATTTTGACCAAAAATAGTGTTACCAGACTCTAGAGGCCAATCCATGAACAAAAAGCCAAACCTTTTGAAAATCGGATGAGATTTGACCGAGTTATGGGGGTGGGAAATTTCAACCTATGTCTATATAGGATATTTGAGGGTATCATTTTTACATGAATTTTTACCAAAAATAGTGTTACCAGATTTTGATGCAGAATTACTCTAGAGGCCAATCCATGAACAAAAAGTCAAACCTTTTGAAAATCGGATGCGATTTGACCGAGTTATGGGGGTGGGAAATTTCAACCTATGTCTATATAGGATATTTGAGGGTATCATTTTTACATGAATTTTGGCCAAAAATAGTGTTACCAGATTTTGATGCAGAATTGATAATGAGGCCAATCCATGATCAAAGAGCCAAACCTTTTGTAAATCGGATGAGATTTGACCGAGTTATGGGGGTGGGAAATTTCAACCTATGTCTATATAGGATATTTGAGGGTATCATTTTTACATGAATTTTGGCCAAAAATAGTGTTACCAGATTTTGATGCAGAATTACTCTAGAGGCCAAATCATGAACAAAAAGACAAACCACGTGAAAATCGGATGCGATTTGACCGAGTTATAGGTGTGGGAAATTTTGATCTTTGTCTATATACGATAATTGATACCATGTTAAAATGAATTTGGATCAAAAAATATGTTTCCAGATTTAGATGCAAAATTGATCTATAGGTTAAACCATAAACAAAAAGTCAACCCTGATGTAATTCGGTTTAGTTTTGATCGAGTTATGGGGGTGGGAAATTTTGATCTATGTCTGTGTATGTATATATGCATTTATGTATATTGATGCATGCATGTGTGTATGCATGTATATTTATATGCTCAAATAAACAAACATGCATACATACATGCATAATGTATGCTGCTGCTGCTGATGAAATCCGTCTAACTTGTTTTCCCTTGCAGTGGAGGTGCTGCAGGGCTTGAATTCGCAGCTGGAACAGTTCGATGTGCAGCGCATCCTTAAGGTGTTGCGCCAGTGGCAATCTGTGCACATGCCCCAAATCGAGGAGCTGCTGGAGGCCGCCAAGCTGGAGCAGGACTTGGCCATGTCGAATATAAAATATCTGCATTTGCTTGTGGAGCCTTGCGCCAAAATTGATGAGTCCGCGTCGCCGGCGACCGTGTCGCAATTGTTGCCGCATATCATTCACCTGCTGCGCTTCATTTGGCTGAACTCGGAACACTACCGGAGCCCAGATCGCATCACCATACTCTTTCGGAATCTAAGTAATCAGATCATAAAGTACTGCACGGCGCAGATAGATCTCAATAATATATTGGCCGGTCAGCCTCGCTTGGGCATCAAGCTGTGCGATCTGTCGCTGGACTGTTGCCTGGCCTACAAGGAGCACACGTGCCGGCTGCAGGAGAACTGCGGCTGGCAACTGGACCTGGGCATCATATTCAATCATGTGCATGCTTTTATGGAGCGTCTCGGCGATCTGAAGGACATATGCGAGGCGATGATTGTATTTGGACGCCTCGACGAGCAGGAGACCCAAACGCAGACCCAATTCGGCGGCACCAGCGGCGAGGAGCTGGAGAAGATTGCGGTCAGCGTGCAGCAACAATTTCTCGAGACGCTGCAACAATTGCGCAGCTGCAAGACGCAGCAGCTCATGTTAAATGTGCATCGCGGCGAATGGTACGACCAGATGGCCAGCTATCGGCGGGGGGTGCAGCGCCTGGAGGAGACGCAGCAGCGTCTCATTGCGAACGTGTTTCAGCGCGTGTGCAACGTGGAGGAGGCACTGGAGGCGCTAAACGTACTGCTCTACTTCTCGTACCATGCCACGCTACGCAAATGCTATCTCCGCCAGGTGGGCCACGTGTGGCAGCTGTTCGGTGAGGACATGGACGAGACAACGCGCCAGCTGCTGCAGCTGCGTCGCCAGCAGCACGAGTCCTGGCTGCCGCGCCACGTCTCCCACGCCCTGGCCTATCGCATCAATCTGGAGCGCTTGACCTGGCTGCACAGTCGCCTGGCCGCAAGCAGCGCCGCGTGGCTGCCGCCTGTGCCGGAGGCGAGCGCCGTGCTCGCCAAGTTCGAGCTGCTGCGCACGGAGTTCGAGCGGCAGATGCGTCTTTCCTACGAGAACTGGCAGCAGCTGTATGCCGACTGCGGGCCCAATCTTTGCCAGAAACTGGAGCGTTATCTGCTGATGCGCAGCAGGCAGCCGCAGGCCTTGCTCCAATGCAACATGGACGCGAGCGCGTTGCACGTCTGCCTGGAGGCCGAGCACTTTGAGCGCCTGGCCTTTGCGGTTCCTCTGGCCATGCGCAGGCTATACGAGCGCCATGAGACGCTGCGCCTGGTGTGGTACAGCGTGCTGCACTTGTGCCTGGACTACAATCGCCTGCTGAACTCGTTGACGGCGCGGGAGCGCAAGCTGTTTCGCCCACTGATCCAGGCCCTCGATCGCCAGCTGGCGCCGGGCATCTACAAGCTAACCTATGGTGCCATTGTGGAGCCGGGCGACGGTTACGCCCAGTGGCTGGAGGATTGTGTGCAGCAGCTGGAGCAGCTGCGTCAGATTATCCAGATCTACAAGCGCGCCAATCAACAGATTGTCAGAATTTGCGAGCGCATCTGCGACACGTCCATGTTGCGCCTGAACTTTGTTGGCGCCGTGGAGATCTCCGCCTTCGAGCAGCAGCTCAGCAGCTGCCTGAGTTGCGGCAACAGTGCGTTGCGCAAGTACTACAACACCATTGTCGAGCTTTTGCTGGCCGTGTCCCTAGAGTTCGACGAGGTTAAAGACGAGGTGGGTAGGTCTCTTGTTACCCAAGATGATCAATAATCCATCCCATTTAATGCTTGCAGCTGGCGAGCGACTGGCATCGATATGTGAATGTCCTGGACGATATGCTGGCCAGCTCTTTTGTCAGCTGCGCGCGCAGCTCCCTGGAATTGCTGCTGGCTGCGCTGCACTGCGATGAGGACATGGCGCCTGCGCCCATTTTAGTTATGGAATCCGACGTCAAGGACTCTCGGATTGTGCTCACGCCCGACATGCCGACAATTGGCGCCGTGCTGCGCGGCACAGTCGATCGCGTCCAGAGCCTGGTGGATCAGTTTCCACGGCTGGGCTACAAGTTGAAGTTGCCGAAGGCGCAGCGACGTCCGAATTTTGCAAGAGAGTTTCGTGAGGATGCCGAATGCTCGGAGCTGGTGCGCCGCATTGAGGCAGAGATTGCCCGGCAGCTGGAGCAGATGGACTTGTATGTGAGCCATTGGCAGCAGCATTATGCGCTCTGGGAGCTGACGGAGGAGGCATTTACCCAGCGAGTGCTGGCCAGCGCGAAGACTGCGGGTGTCTTCGAGGGCGGCATCGAGCACTACAGCTCGCTGGCCGATGACATTACTTTCGTGGATGCCATTGCCCATGTGCACTTTGTGCTCATCAATCAGAATCCCATCAAGAGCACCCTCCTGGACTGGATCGAGAAGTGGCAGGCACTGAACATTAAGATTCTGCTGGATCATGCAACGGCACTAATTCAATGTACGTATGTATACCTATATATACCTTTATTTTATTGTATTGACTGATTGACTGAATGATTGATTACATTTGTTGACTGACTGACTGATTGACTTTATTCAGAGTATGTAAATGCACATGTTTACCATACATATATATTCAAGTGATTGCGTTGACTGATTGACTGAATGACTGATTGACTGATTGATTAATTATGTTGACTGATGTGCATATGTGTACCTATATATATGTTTAATTTATTGCGTTGACTGATTGATTAATTATGTTGATTGATTCAGTGTTTTGACAAACTGACTGATTGATTACTTATGTTGACTGATTGACTGATTAATGAACAGCGCGCAGTTTAAATTGTGTAAGCTAGGAAGTCGTTATCCTTTGTGATGTAGGTGAACACCAGAGCAAGGATTTGGAAAACTCCACCTGCATGGGTGAAAAATTGGTGGAAAACGAGAGTCATACATTGTTGTGTGCTCTGTAAATGTCAAGTCGTGCGCCTGAGCTGCTTAGGTAACGCAGCGTCGAACTAACAATACAAAATCGCCGGCTCAAATCCAGCAACTATTTGCAATTTTTTTATTTAAGGAATCTTTTTGGTTCTTTAACGAAAATCTCTTATTGGAGTCGTGTTTTAAGTTCTTTGGAAAATCGACACACTTTTTTTGGAATGCAAGGTTAAGCTATTGTACATTTTTATGTGCTCTCTCGTACAGCCGTCTATCGCTATATGGAACGCAATGAGCGCAAAGTGATGCGGGTGCCACGCACGCACAGTGAAACGATTCTGGCCAACCAGCTGTTCGAGCGCCTGGTGAAGGCCTTGCCCCTGAAACAGTCGACGTTCACGCCCATGCTGGAGCTGTTCGTCCTGTTGCACAAGTATCGGGTTACACTGGCGGAAGAAACGCGTCAACAGATCGTCGAACTGGAGCCAAACTGGCTGCGCTATATCCAAACCCTTAGAGATGCTGACGAAATGCTTGACAACGAGGGGGATGAGTATAAGATAATGCTAACACAGCAAGCGGACAAGTTCAAGTTGATCTTGCGGGAATTTCATGAGGATTTTTTCTCAAAAATGCCCAAAAAATAATATTACAAACACCCAGAATACTTCACACACATAAAAGAGACAGAAGGAGGGAGGAGATTAAAATGAGTAATTAAGCATAAAGTAAAATCAGATAAAAACGAATTTCTAAAATCGTTAAATTGTGCCATGCGAATTATAAAGGAGGTGGATAAACTGGCTGGTAAATTTTGCTAGGAGGTTAAGTTGATAAAACGGAAGTTGAGTTTAGTTGTAAACTTAAGCTTAAAACGGCTGTTAAAGTTGCCTGCCTATAAAGCACGTTGATAAACTGGATGGTAAATTATGCCAGGGGGCTTAAATTATACACATTTAAACTTTAGTTGGAGCATGAGAAACCGACTGTTAAAATTTACAGTAAAATTTAAAGCAGATGGATAAACTGGATGCTAACTTGTGCCAGGCGGTTCAAGTAATAAAACTTTTAAACTTATATTGGAGCATGAGCAACCGGCTGTCAAAGTTCCCTGATAAAATATAAAGCAGGTAGATAAACTGGCTTTTAAACTTTAATTGGCGCCTGACAAACCGGATGTTAAAGTTGCCTGATAACATATAAAAAAGGATTGAATAAACTGGCTGGTAAATTTTGCCAGGCGGTTAAGTTGACAAAAATGAACAAGCGACTGTCAAAGCTCCCTGATAGAATATAAAGCAGGTAGATAAACTGGCTTTTAAACTTTAATTGGCGCATGACAAACTGGATGTTAAAGTTGCCTGGTAAAATATAAAGCAGTTGAATAAACTGGCTGTTAAATTTTGCCAGGCTGTTGAATTAACAGAACTTGACAAACTAATGTTGATTTGAATTGCTACCTTGAGAGGCACATGAGCAGCCGGCTGTTAATGTTTCCCAGCGAAATGAACGTAAATGCATTTTGATTACCCAAATAATGAGAATCGAAGCCAAATGTTGTTACTCATTATTTGTTATGTTATTTTTTGGTCTGATAAAACTCACTCATGGACTTCTAATATGGCATTTTGTTGTGACTTTTGCCCTGATTTGTTTGTGCAAGAAAATTGCTGGCATGTTATCAGCTTGATGGATTGGCTCTGGCCTAGGCTAATGGGCGCTTAATGATGTGGGCCCCGTCAGTTATGAACTGGGCTGTCGGCTATTCACTCGCACTGCTCGCCTGCTGGACTCTTGGGGTCGGCGGCAGCCACATACTGGGCGTGTTTGTGGGCGTACATCGGTCGCAGCTGCTCGTCCATTTGGCGGTGGCCCGTGTGCTCCTTCAGCGTGGTCACCAGCTGACCCTGGTCACCACATTGCCACTGGAGGATGAGTATGACTGGCTGGCTGCGAACATTACACACTTTCTGGTGCCGTGGGAGTTGCCGAAGGAGCAGCAGCTGCTGCTCGAGCCCAATTTTGTGAGTCGCCTGCAATGGACGCTCGCCCGCCTGGAGCTCTCCGGTCAGCTGCTGGAACAGCCTGCTTGGTTGCAGTTTATGCATGCCACGCCCACAACGCCTTATGAACTGCTGCTGCTCGGCTACCATTTCAATGATCATCTGCTGGGCGTGGCAGCACATTTCGGCTGTCCCGTGGCCATAATAAGTACACAGCAGCCTATTGGCTTTGTCCACAGCCTGCTGGGCAATCCCGAGGAACGTTCGTATGTGCCCCAACCTTATGACAGTCAGCAAAGAACTGGACTCGCCGGCTGCATTTTTGGCCTATGGGAGAAGTTATCGGAGCTGCTCGCCAGGCGCGTCATGCAAAGGATTTACAGGTGAGCTCGACTGACTCAGGTTCTGAGCTCTGAAAATATATTCAAGAGATTTGCTATGCATAGATAGAATGTTTCTACCAAGAAATAGAAAAATCAACTGATATAAGCCATGCAGAACCAGTTTATTTCAAGTTGTCAATGAAATCGATAAATATCGATAATTATCGATTCAGACTTAATTCATTACGGTTACTCGGTTACCTCACTCTTATTTGATATGCATAATTCCTGGACTTATATAACAGGATTTTATACAGTTCGGATAAGGAACAAATAAGTTATTTCAGAAAGAAACTGCCTACAGGGTAGTTTCCAGTCGCGCTGCTGCCTTAAATTCAAATAATCTCCTTGTTTATTTGACTAACTCACCGATCAATGCCCTTCCAGCGCCCACTTTCCCCCGCCCCGCTATCCCACCTTTGAGGCAATGCGTCGTCGCGTGGTTCTCGCTCTGAACAACCATCATATGATCAGCGAGGGTCCCATTGGGCCGCTGCTGCCCGGCATGCTGGACATTGGCGGTATTGTGGTGGAACAGACGACCAGAGCAATGGACCTGGAAGCTGACAGGCCCTTCATTCTCTTTAGCCTGGGCACGCGTTTCAGCTGGCGCACCTCGCCTGCGCACGTGGAGCACAGCATTGTGGAGTCGTTTGCTCAGCTGCCGGACTATGATATCTACTGGACATACGATGGAGCACATGCCAGCGAGATTAGCTCGGCACATCCGCACATCAAGCTTGCCAGGTGGTGGCCACAGGCGCAGCTGCTGGCTCAACCACACGCCCGGCTCTTCATTACGCACGGCGGCAAGGGCAGCCTCAGCGAGGCGCTCTACCATGGCGTTCCTCTGCTGGGCCTGCCTCTGCTCGGAGATCAGCGTCCGAATCTGCAAAAAATGCAGGCCAAGGGCTGGGGCCTGACCCTGCAGCTGGCCAATGTCACCCAAGCGGAGCTGCTGGGCGCCATCAAAAGGCTGCTCTTTGAGGACAGCTTCAGGCAGAGCATACGCAGAAAGTCCCAGCTCTATAGGGATCGTCCTCTGAATGCCAGCGCGCTGACTGCCTACTGGCTGGAGTATGTGATCAGGCATAAAGGAGCTCAGCACCTGGCTGGCAACGCCCGCCAGCTGAACTTCTGGCAACGCCAACTGCTCGACGTTCGGATCGTCGTCTATGGCAGCCTGGGTTTGCTGGGCGCGGCGGCCCTTTGGCTGAACAGACGCCTGGATCGGGCCATAGAGTAGACACATCTGCGATCGCTGACTAGCTGTATCGTTTAATCGTAATTAATATATAGATTATTTATAATATATAAGTTTAGAGCTGAAGCTTAAACGCGAAACTTAAGTACAATTGAATGTTAGTTGGTTTCAATACTTTTTGCTCGGCATTTCCAAATCCGAAACTTTTTTTAAATGTTTTCAAATATCGTTACCATGGCAGTTCATGCCCCCAGAAGCATCTACTGTAAAGGGGCTTAACTCCTAAGAAAATGCTTTAAAAATTTAATTTACAGTGTATGCTGAAAGAAAGGAAAAGTTTAAATTTAAGCACAATATTTTTAGAAAAAGAGAAATGTTTTTATCTTATAGAACAACTATTTTGTGTATACTCAAAAAATATTTCACTTTTTCAAAAAATATTGTCCTTAAATATAAACTTGTCTTTAATATTTTAACTTGACTTCAGATAAAAGGAACGTTCCCAAAATACATTTCTCCTCTTTCAAAAAATATTCAACTTAAATATAAACTTTTCTTAAATATTCAATTTTTAAAAAGCAAACTAATTTTTATAACTCAACTTCAGATGAAAGTTAGGTTTTTTCTTTTTTTAACAAAATATTCATCTTAAAAATGCGTCTTCTTAAATATTTCATTTTTCGAAAACAAACTAATTTTGTGTAAATTTTTTATCTTTTGGCAGATTTTCAAAAGTTTTGGAAAATAATAACTAAATTGAACCGTGAACCGGAGTTAACTTGACTTTAGATGAAAGGTACATTCCCAATAAACATTTCTCTTTTTTAAAAAATATTCTCCTTAAAAAAAGTTTCTCTATTTCGAAAAATATTTTACTTAAGCTTAAAACTTTTCTCACTTGTTCGCAAGCAATTTAATTTTGTTTAACTTTTTCTTATCTTGTCGCAGGTTTTCAAAAGTTTTGGAAAGATATTGAATGTGGAAACCGGAATCGGAGCACCTTGTGCCATGCATTTTATGAGATTTGTATTACTTCTGGTTGCATGAACTGCCGACTATGGATGATGCTTGTGTTTGTTGTGCATTTAGGTAAGTATATGTAGTATATGTATGTACGTGGTAATAGTTAAATGTATACACAGTTCTGGTTTGCTGGACTGAAGGACAGCAGCTGCCAACGGGGCGTGGCTTAGCCGAAGCCCAGCTGGCGCGGACAGCGTCCAATTGTTGTGTTGAAGAGGCCGTAGTTGCAGACGGGCGGACTGCACGCGTTGCTGCGGATGCATCTAAAGTGGAGGCAGGATTAGGCTTTGGTTACTTTGCTTGGCTGAAAAGTAATTCGCTGGCACTGACCTGAGCTCGGAGACGGCGAATCCCTCGTCGCCGTTCTTCATGCGTTGGCAGGTCGTGTGGCTCAGGTGGCAGTCGCAGCGGCAGCTGCTTGGGGCGCCGCCCTGTTGGACGCCAAAGTTGATGAAGTGCTTGGGACACTGGCACTGGGAACTGCGCTTGCGCCGCTGTGCGGCCTGACTGATGCAATGGCATTCGGTGTGGTTAGTCAGCGATATTATCCTCGGATGCGAGTTCGGAATGCCCACGGAGCGCACCCAGAAGACCTTCTCGACGATCGTTGTGTTCTTGGCCGTCCACACCGTCTTGGTGGGGCAGCAGCTGCTGTTCTCATCGCAACGATGCAGCACCGCGACATGCGGCCGATATGTCTTCGACGTCTCGATGTCCATCCTGATGATGCGCGGCTGCGGCAATTTGCAGAGCGGTTCGTTCGCGATGCTTTCCAAATTCTTCGAAGCCAAGCGTCCTGCAAATAGGACCAAATGGGAACGGTGCTTAATTAATGGAAGAGAAGGGATTTAAAAGGACTCTCGATCTGAGCTCCTGTTCGCGGCTTAATTTAATTAAGTCCAGTTGCCGCCATTATTTGATATCCCCACATCCTGATTGATACACAGCGTATGTATCTATATCTACTTGGAGGCATACGGAATTCAGTTGCAGTCGCATTTTATGGCCGGCTAATGACTTTATGTGGGCGTTGCATGCAACATGCCACGGTCACGGCTAACTGCCACAATTTGCGAGGGACTTCACCTACAACAAATGGAGGGAGGTAAGTTCAAAGGCAGCAGCTGCTGAGGAGCTGTGGGGCAATAACAAATTGGGCACATTGAATAATTCATGGAGCTTGGTGGCATAGTGGCATTTGATGGGGCAGGGCTGAGACTGAGACTGTTGCCATGTTGTCTGCCAAGTTGATGATTCAATCGCGCGGCGTTTATGACATACGCATGTGTGCATGTCTGCATGTCTGTATATGTGGATGTCTGCAAGCGTGCATGTCTGCATGTGTGCATGCTTGCATGTGTGAATGCTTGCATGTGTGCATGAGTGCAAGTCAACATGTGTGCATGTATGCATATATGTGCATGTCTGCTTGTCTGCACGTCTATATGTGTGCATGTCTGCATGTGTGCATGCGTACACATATGCACACACATGCACATTTATTCCAGTGAGTGTCCAAATGGCAGTTGCTCGATCTGATTCTCGTTCTGATTGTGATTCCGGATTTCAGAGAGTGGCTTCTGCCTCTGTGCTCCGTGGGTGGGCGCAGGGGGCGGTTCACTTTGTGTTTACATCTGGTTGATTTGTTTGCTTTTGCAACTTTATGACTTTATTGGGTGCAGTTTTGTCGGCATCTGCAACAGACAGCAGCAGCAGCAGCAACAACAACAACGGGGACAACTCTGATAACGACTGCGGCATAAAAACTGCGTACGCTAAAATTTTTGCGTTTTCTTTTTTTCTTTTTTATTGTTTTTGGCGACAGCAGCAACAGCAACCAAAGGGACAACAACAGCAACATTTAATGTAAACAACGTTCGGGCAATAAAGGTGCAAAACTGCTGCTGATCAATAAAAAAGTTACAACAAACAAAAAAGAAAGGAGTTGCGTGCACCGAATAGTAAATACCCTGACACTGTAACAAATCAAGGCAAGGAAGCAGAACAGACGACTAAAGGATTCCGGCTCGAATCCCAGGTGAGTCTAATAATGCATTGTTTTCTCAGCTTTGCCACATATCTGGCAGATATTCTGTTTTTCAATAGTTTTTGAATATATTTTGCCAAACAAATATTTCGACTGATTCTTGCCATAGACCTGTATAATATGGATAGATACGATTTTGTAATATCTTTAAAATTGAGAGATTTGAAACTGAGACGGACAGGCTATATTAACTCGGCTGTTGATGCTGATCTAGAATATATATGTTATGGGTCCGGAGATATTTTTTTTTAAGGGGAATATAAACAACTTTAATAATATGTGCTCAATTCGAGCCTTTCGAGCAGGATGTTGTACTCCATCGGAACAAACAAAATGTTTGCACCGATTGACTTATTTGTTATTTACTTTAAAAAATTGCCTGCAAAAAGAATGATTAAATTAAGTGGAATTTCACTGTGCATATCATTGCGTCACACATGGCCTGACATAATTAAGAAGCTCGCGACAAGTGTATACAAAATTAAAGACAGCGAGCAAAAACGCGTGCGATTGAAAACGCCAGCAAAACGCCAGCATTGTGAATTCGCGCTGATTCATTAAATAGATTACCTGACACACACACACACATACATACTTACACAAAAACATACGCAAAATGGCATTGAGAAGTGCAACGGCGAGCTTTAATTAAGTTGACTGAACTGCTGGAAAAAACGCGCGAAAAACGCGCGCGATAAGTCAATTAAAAACTACTTTGAATTGAATGTAAATAAAAAATATATGATTATTGAAGGCTGTGACATTCAATAAATTGTTGCCTACTGTGAAATATGTACAAATAGATGTGCATTTGTGAGGTGCTGTGTGTAGAATATTATTATTAATATTCTTTTTTATAAAGGAAGACCTTTTTTTTGCATTTTCAGAGAAGAGGAGTGCGAGAGGAATCCGTTCGACGACTACATATTTTGCCTATATTACTTTTAATTGGTATTAATTCCATGAAGCATCTGCCACAAGTCACACAGCATAAATCAAAGAAGCAGATGGATAGCTGAATAGATACATAGATAGCCGGCCGGATAGATAGTTTGGCTTGGCATTCCAAGGCATGCCAATGCCAAGGAGTAGCATATGAAAATTGCATGCACAATAATTGAATAACCAACAACAACAACAACAACAACAACATTGAGCAAACATTTGTGATAACGGTTTATAAACAAACACATGTCGCTTGGCAAATGCCAATAAACAGGAGTCAATTTATAGGAATCGAACGGAGGCAGCCAAAAGCCAAAGTCGGAGCCGGAGACGGGGCAAGAGGTGTAGCCGGAGAGGGACCCAGAGACGGAGTCGAGGCCAACGTCGAAGCCGGGAGTTGACTTTCAACTTATTCGCTGTCAATGACAACAAAAATGTGATAAGAAAATTGTTGCATCATTACGCATTTACAAGAGTTGCCGGCAAGTCCAGCCACAGCCACAGCCCCAGCAACAACAGCAACAGCAACAACAGCAACAACAGCAACAACAGCAACAACAGCAGCAACAGCAACAACAACAACATCGAGGCATATCAGTTAACAATTTCCCAGGCTTAGTGACACACTTTCATTTGCTGCTGTCCACACGCGCTTAACGGTTAACAGCAAAGAAATCAATCAGGTATGCTCGACTAGCAGATGCCCTGTAAATTAGACTTTTCCCATTCTTGCCACCCCAACCTAGTATCGAATTTCTTAATGACTTTTCTATTTAACACTCAATTGTTGTTAATTTTCAGATGACAAAAATTGCAGTCAAAGAAGAGCGTGTATCAAAAATCAAACAGTTTTAGACAAAGAAATGGACTTGGAACTAGACTTTTCAGAACTGCGGAAGTTTCATTCATTATGAATATGTAGGATGGGGTAAGTACAGCCTCTCTTATATTAGACTTATATTTATACTGCCCGCTCAAACCTAATATACTCGCTTTTAAACACTTTTAATGGGCATAAGGTCTTACCAAGAAACCAAAAAAAAACAAAAAACAATTTTCACGCGCTTTAAACGGCAATTTTCCGGCCGAATGGAAGTGGCAACGTAAAAGATACACGCGATGAGCTCACATTTCATTGTCAATGAGCAAATGTTGTTGTTGTAGAAGTTGTTGCTGTTGTTGTAGTAGTTGTTGTTGTTGTTGTTGTTGTTGTAGCAGCGCTTGCATGCCCGATAGTCACGGGCTTTTAATGAAGTAATTGGTAAGATCAGCACAAGTCTAAAATACCACAGCCGCAACAGCAGCAACAAGTGAAGTACGAATATTAAATACACTTTTTGCATTTTAAAAGATTTCTACAACATTAACTAGCTTGACAAATAAATATTGAAGTTCAGGGTTTCCAACTTAGTTTATGGATGTTATATCTATAATATATTATTCTATAAATTTATATAATTATTATATAATTATTCTACTTCGCCCTTTTAAGTCTGAAATTCTAACTCGAAACAAGCATAAGATTTAGTTGAATTAAGGAACTGCAACATGTTCTGTTGGAAGTATAATAAGTCTGTGTTTAAAACAAATTCTCCTCAAACCAATTCTAAGACTTAAAAACATATTTTATCTTTACGGGAGCTCGTTCCCAAAATGTCATGCTCAATATATCAAGCGACAAATAGGTAAAGACCAAAAGTTAATTATTCTACAAATACTTCTGCAAATAGTTTATCAAATACTTATGTCAAAATGAAAGCTCTTTAAAAAAGTTAAAAGAACATTTTTGTGGGCAAGAGATACCCATTAATATGTACTCTATTGGGAAATAGTTAGAGTAAGAGCATCGCGTAGAGTAGCAGAAAAAAAAAGACAACTAAACAACGTTAACAAGTTAACTCGCTTTAATTGCAACGAAAGTGCAGAGCAAGAGATGGGCATAGAGTGTGAGAGAGAGAGAGAGGGAGAGATGGCAGAGAAAATGTCTGGCATTTGGTTAGGTTTTTGGGATTGAGGCATGAACAAAGTAAGAAAGAGGAAGCCAGTTTCTCGGCTCGACTTCTTTCGGTGCGTTCCAATGGCCATTTAGAAAGTGTCTCGTTTTGTATTTATTTATTTATTTTGCTGCCTTAACTGGATTTGACAGCCAGCCCTACAATGCCAGGCAATGCCTGGCAGTCTTTCATCAGCTACAGCTTCCTCCAGTCACGTGCCAAGACCCAGACAGAGTCCAGCAGAAGGCCCCAGACTTGGCCATAAAATAGAAGAAGATGCTGATTCCGACATTGTGTTTAGCTCAAATGGAATGCCAGAAAAGTTTTTGCATGCTGTTAAGCACATTTTTTATGGCCAGAACGTGATGATCTTGCGCCCGCGGCGCCTGCTCTATTTCCGGAACAATTACAACTCTCCGATAGATATGTATATATGGAGTCTATATGGTTAGTTGGTTGGCTGGCGTCTAGGAATATATCGTGTACTTACTCAGCCTCTCTTCGTTCTTCTGCATGTATTGCAGCTGACTGTTGTGCACACTTTCTGGGCTGCCCACTTCCTTCTGTTTCTGGGCGGTCAGCACGCCCGGCACCTGATCCGATTGATAGTTCGCCTGCAATGTGTGAATATGTGAGAATATGAAAATTCAAATTGAAATGCGATTCTGACAGTAGTTGGAATCGAAATATGTTGCATATGCCACTTAGGGTTGCCATCCAGCTGCCTCCCAGCCCACTTGGTTTTGTTTCCCTCTTGCAATTTCCATGGTCTGACCGCGTAAAGTTATACAGCATGTACATTCATATAAGTCATACCCTACACACAGTGTGTTGTGGTGGGCTATATTGGTTTGTGCACTTTTACCCTTTTCATACAATTCATTGTAGTGGGAAAATAAAGGTGGGCCTTTATGTGAAAAGTATTTTAGAGCGCATCTCATGGTAACTAAAGATAGTCAGTCAGTCAATCAATCAGTCAGTCAATCAATCAATCAATCACCCTCAGTTTACACAAAATGGTGTCAGCTTTCTTGCCTCTCAACCCAAGCCCTGCCAGCTTTACAGGGCATCTGGCAGTCGACTTTGCTCATTGAATCGATTTTTTTCTTTCGATTTACTGGATTTCTGGTCGCGGCTTTCATTATTATTTCACTATTTCCATATGTTTGGGAACATGAAATCAACATGAAACATTTACTATTTTGCGGATATTTATTGAAAAGAAAAAACAAAGAGGCACAATAAAAAGAATAGAGCAAAAACTGAATGCAACCGCAACAGAAATACATGCCAGAGTATTTTGTTATTCAATAGATCAGACGATGATGCTTTGCCACTCAAGAGACCAAAATATATATATATATATATTCGGGGAAATAAATCAAACTGCTTTGTGCTGTAATTTCCAAATGGATTCACAGCCCCACAAAGAGTTGATATATTGGCCAAAAAGTATTATTCATTTCATTTGTAGCCAAGCAAACAACTCATTTAAAATGCCATCTAAAGACGCAGATTTATAAAGTGTGCAACTGTTTATAGCTATTCAGTTGGGCTAGGTTAGGTTGAGCGGGTTGTGGGTAGACATTTAAGTTGGGAATTTTAATCTAAATTATTAGTTATTTTTTGTAGAGCGACCCCATTGATTATATATAAAGATTTTAAACGATATCAACAGGAGAGTGATCTTAAAGATATCTATATAGATATATAAAGAATTTCATAGTTAACCGCTGAGTCCATATAATTATGCCTATCTGCAAGCTCTTCGGCTCTTCTTCGGCCAGGAACAATCAGTAACATTTCGACACACTAAATTTAGGGTTCGAACCCTCTTGAATATAAAAGCTATAATTTTGTAAAGGGCAAGATAAGAGAGAGAACCTTGTGAATCTGCCTGAAGTAGACAATCTTAGCATCTACTGCAATGCCAGCTTTAAGCATTTAAACCGGTCAACGCCGGGTAATTTCTACTCTTTCATGGTGCACATTTTAATTAAGAAAAGGTAAAATTTTCTAAAGAGAGTGTAAGCTGTGATAAAGAGAGTGTAAGCACAGATAAAGTAGGCATCTTTTGCAATGTGAATATTAAGCATTTAAACAGGACAACGCCGGGGAATTTCTACATTTTGCATTTAATCCCTTGCAATGTCAATATTAAGCATTTAAACCGGACAACGCCGGGCAATTTCTGCTTTTTAATGCTTCCCATTGTAATAATCGTTCCATAATTGAATTTTCGTATAAAAATTTGAATTTGAGCACATATAATATAATCGAAAGCCCGTTCACACTCTTTTGCAGCCCGTTTCAAATGTTTTGAGGCTGTTGTTCAATTGTTTATATTCAATTTTGCAATATTTTCGGCTAATTGCATTGAAGTTTTGATATGCGAAATTTATTTATGCAGCTACGAGCCGCTGGGAATATATTATTAAAGATGAAACAGTTCGATTTTCAACTTTAACAATTTAAGCAATTTAAAGATAATTTACAATATGTGCGCCCCCCTCCCTTTTTTTTAAAGCGTTTATCCTGCGATTGACACGCCCCAAAAAATTATATACAACGTCACGCTGTGTGTGCGTCTGTGTGTAAGAGTGTGTGTGTATGTGTTGAGAAGAAAAATTTAATTGAATTTATGCATATGATTTATGCTGTGTATTTTGTACGTATGTGTGTGCCTGTGTGCGTGTGTGTGCGTGTGTGTGTGTGTGTGTGTGCGTGTGCGTGAGAGTGTGCGGCATGTTTTACGCAACAATTTGTGATTTAACAGATTTTTAACACGCGCCACAAAGGTGTACGAAATTGCATTGGTAGGCCGCAGAAAACAATACCATATCGATTGTTGCCGCTGCTCGACGTGGCGCTACCCTGTAAACGGCTATGAAGAGCGGTACGTTTGGTGCTTACCAAACAATTGCTCTACAATTTACAGCGTATATGCTAGCTTATATGCAATATGTATATACCACATGTAAAATATACCAACATGTATATACCCTAGACTCTATATACGAGCAGGTACAAGTCTGCCTCCGTTTACTTGACCCTATTTAGTGTGAATTGGTTTACAGGGTATTTGACAGCGTACAACAGCTGTGAAGTGCGAGGACTTTGGTGATGACCAACCGTTTGTTGTACATTTTACAGGGTATATACTAGCTGATATGCAAACACGCAGATACAAGTTTCCTCTAGCTACTTGACACTTATCTATTTTGAATTGGCTTACAGGGTATTTGACAGCGTACAACAGTGTGAAACAGTACTAGCTAATATGCAATACAATACAAGCTCCTTCTATTTACTTGACACTTTTTGTTTTAGAATGGCTTACAGGGTATTTGTCAGAGGTAAACATTTAAATGCAACACCTGTAAGCAGGCGAAATGCTATCACTTACAGCTCAAAGAGCAGCAAAATATATAAAAAATGGGCGACAACAAAAAAAAAAAAGGAAACAGAAACTGGAACAATTTTTGCACTCAGATATTGATTTTCAGCAAAGGACACGCTGCTTGCAAGCTGGACCCGAGTCTCATGAAAACTAACGACATGCATATAACTGACACATAATGCCAAGCAATAAAGGGGTCTGTAAAGGGGGGAGGGAGGCGTAGAGGGGTGCCAGTTGGGGTAATAAATGAAGTGTGCATGTAAGAAAAATGGAGCTCGAGGCAAGGACATGTATAGCATAAGCCACACAGCAAGGCGTTAACTGAAATGGTCAGCGTCCTGGGAAATGGTAATGCTAGGGCTGTATAGTGTGTGTGTGTGTGTGTACAGGTGCCCAATTGTGCGAGTATGTGTGTGTGTGTGTGGGGGGATAGGTAGTTTACCCTGCGCGGAAGACGCCCGTTCGCGGTTTTTCTTTGAGCTCTTTTCACATGCTGAATTTTACTTTTGTAAAGAAAGAAAGAAAGAAAACCCATTTTTATCAGAGGCGCAAACATTTGCTTTTACCTTCGACATGCAAACAAAATTGTAAAATTCTCGAACTTAAGATATTTCGCGAGACGAAATGCTCTTCTTGGTAAACGAATTCAGTAAGGAACTTAAATAAGAAGACTAAGATTTAAAACTTTAGCAGACATATATCATATATATATAATGAATATATATAATGTGGGGTGGGAAATATTTTCAGCAATGCATTTAACATTTTTTGACACAATTCAACTATTTATTAATATATATTATAATATATTTCGTATTTATATTAGCAGCTCAGTTCATTGAATTACAAAACTCTGCTCAACCTTTGATCTGAAAGACCTCAACAACTAGGTTCTGGCAATTTTGTCCCAGTTAAAAAAAGTATTTTTAAACCTTCACATTCATAACCTATCTGTGCATCAATTGATGCCTCAACAAATGATGCCCACTCAGTTGCTGACCTAACATTCTCTGGCAATTGTTAGCTCTGACAGCCTTTCTCTGCGATTCTCATGGCGGGCTGGCTAGGGCGTGCTGGCTCAGCATACACTTGCCGCGCATTGTGCGGCTGTTTTGGACACCTTTTGTATTCCGGACACCTATTGTGGAGCACACTGGAGTACTTAGCTCATCTCCAGCTTCAGCTTCAGCTTCAGCTACAGCTGCAGCTCATTTCTTGTGGTCGCAGCTCCTTCGGTTCGTTAAGCTTCTGGCAGCAGAGCTCATCGTGCAACACCTTTTCATGTTGTTTTATGCGCTTCGGCTGTTTTTATAACCAGTTCTACTTAAGCTTCATTACGCATGCTCAGCCATGACAGGCCCATTCCGAAACCCCCGGCTTGCCCCCTTTGCCCCCCCTCGGCTTGTCCGAGCGCGTCTGGCAGATGAAAAAACCCATTAAGTGTCTGCCGGTTGACACTGTTCGAAAAAGGCAGTTCTTATTCTTCGCTGCCAAACAATAAAAACAAACTTCATTTGCATATGCCAAAGGTTCCCCTCTAGTCCCCCTGCCCCCCGCTGCCCACCCTGTGCCTCTCTATCATTCTGTGTGTGCCCCCGCGCTTTGAAGGATGCCCTCAGCTGGATTCCTGGCGTGGGTGTGACTCGCGTCTGGCCTTTTTACGAGCCACGGCCAGAAGGTAACAAACAACAATAACAACAACAACAACAACAACAACAGGCCTGAATAAAAGCCCGTCCCTGGGTTTATTTGCAATCAAAAGAGTTATGAGCCAAATGCAAATAGCTCGAGCCTCGAATTGTTCTCATTTTTATGAGCCTGCTCGGCTCCGGCCAGGAGTTCGCCTGCGCCCTCTGGTCAAGCTGTGGGCGCGGGGGGCGTGGCTTGCAGACTAAAAACAGTAGCTGCCTCCCCTCGCAGCTGCCCCCTGCGTCCTCCTGCCAAGGGGCGAGTCAGTAAAGCGGCAAATTCGCCGCCAACTGTGCAAATAAACACAAAAGTCGGCCCAATATTTGTTTAGACGAAAGCGAGCACAACAAACGGGCCAACAGCATGTGTGTGTGTGTGTGCGAGTGTGTGTGTGCTTAGGTACATTCATGTTTTTTTTTGTACATATATTCAGAGCATATTTCGAGCCCGAAAGACTTTCCTAATTATGAGCAGCCGTACGCAAGGCATATGAAAGCTTTTGATACCCTGTAAATATTGAAAATC